CCAAGTTTCCTGTTACTGTTTCTCCCTCTTCACTAATCAGTGGGCCTACACCTAATTGTATTGTGGTAAAGACAAATCCGTGCCCATTTTGCCAGTTTATATTAAGTAGAGGGGGATTTCAGACCCTGTCTTGTGGTAATGTGTAGGGTATTTTGTTGGGCACCTATGGCCTGTATATACATAATGAACATGCAAAATGTTGACCTCTTTTTATGTCTGGAATCTGGGCCAATAGTCAGAGGGTCTGTGGGAAACAATTGGGGAACCCAACCCATAGGAGGACTTATCTCTGCATTTGCAACCTCTTCTCCTTGTATTTCACCACATGGAATTCTGTCAATTCTTCCTTATCCCCCAGGGAACATAAGAGGCTATCACAAGGTTAAGAATGGGCTTATAATGGAAAGCCCGTCACACTGTTAACTGTGGAGTTACTACCACAATTCCATAATACTGATGTTCTTTACTCATATTATTGGTGACATTCTCTCTTCTCCAGATGATACACCCCAGTGTTATTGACACCTCATTGCTTTTTGCCAGACACAAAGGTCGACGGTTCAAGCTAAAATTCTTAGCAAAAGCTGTTTTAGGGTACGTTTTTTTACTGTGTTGTCATAGTTTATGCCAACGGATAACCAGTACTACTATGTAATATTTTACCAATCACAATTATTACACCAGGTGCACGAGTGTTTATCTAAAACTTAATATGTTTAGAAAAATCAGATGATATAATGTACATGAAATAACACATGTAATGTGAATTATACTAGTACACTTCTACCCCGATATAACGTGACCCGATATAACATGAATTCGGATATAACGCGGTAAAGCAATGCTCTGGGGGCGGGAGGGTAGGGCTGCACACTCCGGCGGATCAAAGCAAGTTCAATATAACATGGTTTCACCTATAACATGGTAAGATTTTTTGGCTCCCGAAGACAGCGTTATATGGGGGTAGAGGTGTAGTAGGCGATGTATGTATTCACAGCAAAGGTATGTCTTCACTGCACACTCCTTATGGCAGTGTGTTGAGTACAGACATTACAAGCCCCCCAAGCACAGGTATAGATAGCAGTGTAGATGGTGAGGCACTGCTTAGGCGAGTCGAGCATATCGTACCCTATATGGCTCTCTACACACCCAAGCAGCGCCTGCTGCTATTTTAGCAGTGTAGTGACCCATTGCCTCCCTGCTGCTGGAGCCTCTCTGGTGTGGAGAAAGACTCTGGCAGAGGGGAGGCAGTGGGGACAGACTCCACATACCCTCCATGTTGCGGCCAGTGAGCGTACAGTGTAGACTTATCTTAAGAGTCCTGCCCTGAACATTAAACAGTTGAAGTGGACATGGCAAAGAAAGGATTACTATCTCCATGTTACAGGTAGGGAATGGAGGTAGAGAGGTTAAGTGACTTGCCTAAATCATACAGTGACTATGTAGGAGAGCTAGAATTGAACCGAGATCTCCTAACTCCCAGTCCAGTGCCTCAACTACAAGACTATGCTTCCTCTAATTCTGTTAATTGTGAGCTGTTGAATCTTACATCTAAGAGGCCAGGATACTCTTTTTCAACACTTTGGCTTGAATGTGTCTAATTCACACACATGACTAGGAGACTCATTTCAAATTAGCAAGAAAGTGAATACAGCAAGCAAGGGTAATGTTTCAGAAATTGTGCTTTGACAAGTTTATTTTGAGTTTTTAATGATATTCCATAGTGTGCCAGCAAACATTCTATAGTATGTTTTGTAGACATAATGTATTCTTTAGTAGTAATGGTTTGGTGAGATGAGAGGAGAGACTGCTGTACTACATGCAAATTATGAGATGGGGAAATTAGCAGAGTGTAGCTGGTTGAAGATAAAGATAGCTAAGGTCTGTCAAAACACAATATAGTCCAAGGCAGCTATGAAATCTTTAACAGTTGTAAGCAATATTGAACATTGCAAAAATTCTTTATTTATATTTCAGTGGCTTTTGGAACATTTCAGAAGAATACGGTTTCAAAGATAATTGAAATACAACAGTCTTTGAGCACAGGGATAAATATACCACCTGAAAAGAACAAGCTACGCGGCTTCTGAAAAACTAAATACTATATCATTTAGGGTGTGAAAACTGCTAACTTTTCTGTATGTTTTACTTTGACATTTTAGGAAGGAAATTCAATGTGAAAATAAAGTTGGTCATGATCCAACAGAAGATGCTGAAGCTGCACTTGAATTGCTTCAATACTTTATTGACCAGGGACCCAGAAAGGTATGTAACTTTGTAGGATATTAAAAAATAACTTTAAAAGCTCAATAGATATCGTTTGTAGCCCTCCTAAAGAAAAAGAAAAAATTGATTGTTTCATGGTTTCTTTTTATTAGGATAATTGTGCACTTGGACCCTGATCCAGGAAGATAATTATGCTTTAAACATGCAAGCATCCTATTGACTTTAGTGGGACCATTGATGTGCTTAGAATCAGGCACATGTTAACGTGCTTTGCTGAATCAGGACTGCTGTCATCATCTCTGGGAGCAGCATTCCCCACTTGTGGAGTGTACAGGGACACTATCAGTCTTGGTAGAAATTGGCTGATCTTCAGGAATGTTCCAAAATATATCCTGGGGTTTTTTTTTAAAAATGCTCATGTTATTGGTCTTTTCCCTGTTTTCAATATTACCCATTTTGATTCCAGTTCTTTTTCCATGTCTTTTGCTAATTTAAGGCACTTGTACACTTTCACAGTTGCAGGGGATTGGCTGTTATGCACAACTCTATCTCCCAAATCCTTGGCTTCCAATTCTAAATCAGAGATGACTTTATGGAGACACATTGCTGGATTGATGCCCGTGAATGCTGTGTGCTTGAAAAGTACCTTGAAAAGGAATTAGTGTGTTTTTGTCTTTCTAGGTAGTAGAACTAAATTTGGAGACAGTGCTGTCAGCCCCAAATCTGATGGAGTCGTCACAGCAAAAATCTGCGTTACAACTGCAACAGAATGGAGTCCAGAAGCAGTCAAGTGAACCTCCAGGCATACTCAAACCATGGTAGTAGGACTTCCGCTGCATACACAGCCAGTTCATTGGCGTCAGTTCTTTGTGAAATCATATTAATACATTGTTTTACCTCAAAATGATATTTCTCTCTTCCTTTCAAAATACATTACTTGCTATTGAGTTACACTAATCTAACCATTTTTAAAAATTAAAAGGCTTAGATTACTTCATAACAGTGAATTTTACGTGATTCTCATTTTTTTAATATATTCAGGACACAAGATGATTATTTTCAGACAGTGGGAAGTTTAAGTTAGTTTTAAAAATTCTCTTTCAAGGAGAACTAGCATTTTTTTTTAACAAATACTTTCTCAAAGGTTTCTAATTCAGTCTAAACTAAGAGTTAGTTTTAAAGATGAGGTGATATTTACCATGACTCTGTTAGTTTTTTAGACCATTTGAATGCTACTGGCCAAAAAACTCTCCTTTTGAGCAGAAAGGAACTAGCCTCTTCTGGCTTGTGTCAGAACAGTCTGAGCACTTTGAATAAACAGGTAAGTGAACTTAGAACAGATTGTTCTAAATATGTATCTAAGAAATAGAAGGTCTACACATTGAGTGTGGTTTTTTGTTTGTTTGTTTGCATTTTAAAAAGTTGAGTAACCTAAAATGGTAAATGTCAGCAACAGTCTTAATGCTTCCTTGGATGAATCAGTTTTGTCATCTTTGAAAATACATTTTGATCCTGTATTGTCCTGAAATATGCCCATTTTATGGGCAAGTAAATAGGAACTACAAATAGGTCAAGTGACTTGCCCAAGGTCACCTACAGAACGAGAGGCAAAGTTGGGAATTAGAAGCTAAAAGTTCTCATTTGCAGTCCCCTGCTTTAATCACTTGACTGCATACCCTGACCATCATTACTGTGTGATTTTTTTCCTCCTGTAGATACTTAAAAGAGCTATACAAGAAGTTCCTCTGTCCTCATTCAGTGTCATTCAGTTCGCTTTGCGTTCAGAGCATGTTGCACCAGACCTTGTTGCTGAAGTTTGTGAAAAGGTAACAAAGCTATATCTTAGAATATTCTTTAAAGCTGAGCTTGGAGAGGGACCCAGCACTTTTCAGATTCTTTGTTTTGTAAAATCCCTGCATTAACTTGTATTCCTATAGATGAGAATCCAGCTAGCTGACATGCTGACTGTCTATGTGGGTCCATTTGATAAAGACTTTTGCCTGAAGTCTTTAAGGAGAGAATTTAAGAAGTGTGGTCCTATCCAATCACTTACTGTGCTCACTGAAACACACCAGGTGAATAGCAGAGAGAATCCTTTTAACTATGTTAACTTGCTGACATACAAAGTCACTGTTTAGTTTTACTAAGAGATGTGGCTCAGTGGAGGGGTGGAGATGGTACAACTTAAACACTGATTGGTCTGCTTGTTTGGCAGTGTGGTCAGCACCACCAAGAACTCATTGTGGAAAAGCTATTGTAAACAGCCAGTATGGTTTAACTCCACCTTTGTTGTGCTACTAGCTCAAACAGTGGTCTTTCAAAGAAACTGTAGCATAAGAGTCCAGGATACTGGGGTGATGGAAATTTTCTCTCCTTAGTGGAGGGAAGAGCATTAAGGCCCTTAATGGCAAAACAATGGGTTGTGAGTTAAGTTAAAGCAATGAAAAATCCTATGTAATGCTGTGTCTTTAATGTATTACATATAGCATATAAAAGGCTTCTTAGGATATCTTCCAACAACCTGTTAAACACTTATTTGTGAAAGGAGAGGGATACTGTAATTGAAGACTCAGCTTAATATTCTTCCTTTTAAAAGCCCCACATCTGTATCCAGTATGAAGTATTAGAAGCTGCTCAACTTGCTATGGAAAGTCTGAATGGAGCTGATGTTGCAGGGTCCTATATTAAGGTATATAAGCATGTGCTAAAAGTCTGAATTATATTCAACGTAGGACTACATTAAAATATGGACATGAAATATTTTTATAGCCTCTTTCATCAGAGGATCTCAAAGAACATTACCACCATTAATGAACTAGGCCTCACAACACCTGTAAAGTTTACAGAAGTAATTAAAACCATTTTACAGATGGAGAGATTTGGTTATAGAAAGGTTGTGACTTCCCCCAGATCATACAGCAAGTCAATGTAAGAACCAGGAATCCTGGCTCCCAGTCTTACGTTCTGAATGTAAACCCTCCTTAGGGTTCAAGTTGCTAGATGCCTTCAATGACTGTATTAGTTAAGGTTGCCATGGCACCCTGGTCTCAATCTTGCTATGTCTCGATCTGGTCATCTATCAAAATGGTATATAGTCAGTAATTCTTTGTACTAGATTCTTACCATCTAATTATAAGTGATGCATTTAAGATTATCTGCCCATCATGGGGTCCACTCACTGCTAAGGATGACGCCTCCGGGCTGCTCTGGGGGATTAGCTCCTTCCAGATGCTATGTGCTGCTTTGGTGGTTGCTCAACCTGTCTCCGCAACATTAGCTGCTCCTTCTTCATAATGTGGACCTCTGGCAAGGTCACTATGCATGTTTCCCCCTTCTGGGGTATCAAAATCTTCAGCACAAACTGTCCCAGGCAGTATGTTCTCCACTGCCTGGTCTGTGCCACTTCCCCAGTGACTGGTAGGGGGACCTAGGCTCACTTTCTATTCTGGATTCCAGTCCCAGGGCCCTCTCATCAGCAGCCAAGATCTACCCTAACCCATAGCCTTTCCTACCTTTCTATGGCTCTCTCCCCTTCTCCAGCCCAAACTCCCTCCTCCCAGGGAGTAACTGTGCACTACCCTCTATAGTGCCAAACATCCCCCCCCTTCTCCCAGGGGTTGACTGTATTCTACTTCTCTGCAGCTCTTGGGCTTTGTACAGGCCTTTCTGTTCCCATCCAGCTGAGCCTCATCTAATTAATCCCTGCTACCTGGCTGCTCCTCCAGGTGCAGCCTGGGGAGTTAATTGGCTCAGCTAGCCACCTTAACCCCTCCAGGTGGATGTACATAACCCAAGGAATGTTTAGAGAGGTGCAGACGCACTCATTTTCTTTAGACAAACTTGTTTGTCAGACTTCTGGGGAAAAATGTAATTTGTAAATAGAAGGTAGAATTCCTGAGACCCATAGTCCCTAAAACAGTTCAGACTGGCACATTACATGTATTTCCATTTGATACGCCCAGGTTCAGAGACCCGTCACTGTGATGATGCTAGACTGTGACATGCTGATAAAAGAGCTAGAAATGGATATTGAAAACGAAGGTGTGATTTATGTGGCGGGGCTGAAGAAAACCCTAACTGAGACAGACTTGCAAGAGAAATTCAGTCATTTGAAAAACCTGCAAGCTCTTTTCTGGCCTAGGGATCTCAAAAGTGGGAAGCACAGAAATTACTGTTTCCTGAGTAAGTAAATGTCACACACAACACCCAATAGGCCTAATTTTGCAGACACTCCTCACCTGGGTCTCCTATTGAAGTTAGTGGAGACTATACTCCCTGTAGCTCAGAGTAAGGTGACACTATGCATTGCCATTGGATCATTTCTAGCCAGCTGCCTAATCCCTGTCACCCATGTAGCTACATTTTGCTTTAAATTTACAGGAGTTTTTAAAAAATTAATACTACTTTAGATATTAATAGCTCCTGCATCTAGGGGAGTTCCGAAGTGCTTCACAAACTATATACCCACTCCAGCACTGAAATTCCTTGGGGGGGGGGAAGATGGCTGCCATGCAGCTTGCAATCTGACAAGTGCCATGGCTTGTTTGTCAGGAACTCAGTTTATGGTCTTATTTAAAAAGACATCCAGCCAGTAAGCTGTGTAGAATTCAGCTGCCCTACCCAGGGATGGCTGAAACGCTGAACAAACTCCACTGGAATTTGGATCTGTGGCTCTACAGAGTTCGATGCTTAGATTGAAGCAGAAGACGATGCTCCCCTTGTGAGACTGTGCTACAACAGTGACTCTAGGCCTAGTCTCCCATAGGCCACAGCTTTGCCCTCTGGGTGCTGAGAATGTGAGAACTACGACTACTGACCTAGGGTACTTGTGTTTTTGTTTTGTTTTTTCTTTTAAGAGTTTCAAACCTCAGAAAGTGCCTTAGAGGCTCTTCAAGATATAAACAGGCAAGGAGCTGAAGGCAGCCGACTGCAAAGTAGGAAAGCTCTCACTCCTAGCCACCTCCACCGATGGATTTGTCATATGGACCGTAATGATGGGAAGCCTAGTCAGCTGGCACATCACATCCTACAAGTGAAAAAGGAACAACTATCTGCCTCTGTGAGTTAAATACCTTTGTCATAGTAAACCATAAGGCAAGGCAGAGTGGAATGAATACAGCTCTGGGAGCTGGGAAACCAGACTTTCCAATCATAGGTCAGACACTGACCTTCTAGGGCTTTGAATAAAATTTTTAACTTCAGATTCCTGTCTATAGAATGGGTTTACCTTATTCTGGGGGCAGAGGGGTGATTAAGAATGAATTAATGTTTGTAAAGCAGCTTGAAGATGGAGTGTGTTAGACAATTTCAAAAGACCAGTGCAACTGGTTTCAGTAAAATACAATGCTACACAGAAATCCGAGACCTACATTTTTCAAAAGCAAAAAGACCTGGTGTTAAAATAAAATATATGGGGAGAAACATGAAAAAGAGGGGGTCACATGCAATGGGGATGGCTGTTAATAAAGCGTATAGATTGATGGGGATCTCCATGGTTGAGTACCTCAAAGGAAAGAACACATAATCTTTACTGGATAAAATTACAAATTAGTTTGCAACAGTCCTGTGATTCCCTGCAGCTCCCCAGTCACCATGCTTCAACTCCAGCCTGGAGAGACCACCTAGGAATGACAAGATAAGGTACCAACCATCTATCCATGGCCATTCAGACCCTGATCACAGAGACTGCCAACAAAAGATTGCTAGTTTTCATGTTGTACATTCACATCCAGTAGGAACTGTAGTGAGTCCAACTGCTTTTAAGGCAGCAGTCAAACTTGGATTGCTGATGAAACCTAGGACAATAGGATCTAATACTAGTACCATTTTGTTCCTGTTCTACCCAGGAGCAAGACCTAAGGAAAAAGCTGAAGAAGTTAGACCGCAATATCAAAAAGCTTTATAGAAGTCTGGAGAATAATACACTTTGTGTCATTCTGTTGCCAGGTGTGAACAGGTAATATTTACAAATAGTTTTCGAAGTGGCCAGAGAACAATGTATTGCCAAGCAAGTTAGTATTTCCTGCATTACAATGACATTTAACACTGGACATGGGGGGTGAAAGGGATTCTTCATAGAATCATAGCTTGTAAGGCCAGAAGGGACTATGAGGATCATCTAGTTTGACTTCTTGCATAACATGCATGCTAAATAAAATGTTATCCAGTAAATACTGCATCAGGCCTATAACTTCTAGTTGAGCCAGAGCATTGAAATCAATTGTGATATGATGGAGGCTCAGATTAGGCCTCCATACCTCAATTTGCTAAACTGCCAAGGAAATTCTTCTCATTTTCAGTTGTCACTCTTCACTTGCCTTCCTGTCTTTGATAAAGGTTCTTCCCACACCCCCTCCTATTTTAAATGAATGTAGTTTCATGCCCTCCGATCTTGCTAGTAATGAGTTTCAAGCACTCACATAAAGGGGCAGGTTGGCACCTCTGGAAACTGTAGTCCTGCATTTATACATATAACAGCTACAGCCCAGGCAGCAGGTGTGCACACTTCCTTATACAGTCCTTACTTATATGCTTCATCTTTGACTTGGGACCACATCTAGTGAGAAGAGGAGGGTGATAAATTGTTCTCCTTAACCACTCTGGATAGGACAAGAAGCAACTTAAATTGCAGCAAGGAAGATTTAGGTCAGAGTAGACATTAGGAAAAACGTACTAGTTAAGCACTGGAACAAATTACCTAGGGAGGCTGTGGAATCTCCATCACTGGAGACAAACTCCTGTCAGGGATGGTTTAGATAAAATGTAGTCCTGCCTCAGAGAAGGGGACTGGACTAGATGACATAATAAGGTCCCTTCCAGTACATTTCTATGATTTTATAACCAGTGTATTCTTCCTAAGCCATTGAATATCCATCGAGTGGTAACGGGACTTACTGGACTTGAAAGGCTCCATGTATTCTCAAAGCCAGTTTTTTGGATGCTGTTAGATGATGGATTTTTCAGCATTCTAAACAGGCTATGTAATTTCAAGCTACTTAGAATGGTAACTTGATATTATGAATTAGAAAAATTCAAGTGCATTCCAACTTCACTTTTGTTAGCCAGAGACCTTGTCCTTGGCTATGTACTTATTTCAGTTAAATCTTCCCTCTACTCCAGAGCTAATTCAGCATCCCCCTATTCCATTCAGATAGAGATTGGACCATTTTGTTCAGTTATATTCTTGGCTTTCATTCATCTTCAATAGAAAAGGCATGATTATTTCATGGAGATGCAGAGAACATTTAATATTTACCTTTCTTGTATAAGAAAAAAGGGCATACGGAGAAATTAAATGGGTCAGAGGCTTCTCTGAATTAGCTCTTGCCTGTCTGACCATGCGTGCTCTTTACCATCTGTGAAAGGGGTTTTGAAAGTAAAGAGATCGGTGTGCTGTCAATGAGGTGTTTGCACCATCTTCCATACCAAACAGAGCTGTCCCTGAAGGTTATTCTCTGCCAGAGCGAGACTGGGACAAATACATACTTGGGTTTAACTTGGACTTCAGATGAATGAATTTAGATCAGGGCTGCACATAGTTGCAGCCTAAGGTACTTTTATGGCCACATCACCACAGTATCTGAGTGTCTGACAATCTTTATCTTCAGATCACCACGGGGAGGATTATCTCCATTTTACAGATAGAGAGACCAAGTGACTTGCCTGAGGTCCCACAGGAACTCTGGGGGGAGCAAGGAGTTGAAGCCCCTGTCTCCCAAATTCTAAGATCGTGCTCTAACCCCTGAATATCCTCACTTGCCTGAGCATCTTATGCAGCCCATGGATTGCAGTTCTGCTGGTGTTTGCTGGCTCCACTGACACTTAATACAGGGTAAAAGAACATATTACAACAGTATCAAAAAGTTACTCTTGCTTCTGTTGACTCTGGTTACTTGAGTCAGGATGGATCACATGGGTCCTGTTGACATTGCTGCTCTATCTCGCGTAGTCTGTTGATTCTAATCAGGTTCTTAACCAGAAGCACAGATGCAATTTACTTCAGTCCATCCAAATTTGGTATGGCCCTTTGCTCAAGTCAGGACTAGGTGGGCATTAAGCTAAGTGGCTTACCCTGTCATATTAATTTACTAATAATATATTGGTTGTTCATTCAGCTACACGGTAACAGTAAGGAGGCTGGCTAGCACCAATGATACCTTCTTTTAGTTTAGAAGCTCGGTTTATTGCGTGCAGATATCCTGCATCACCTTGCTGTAACATCAGGAGTTATTTTTCAATTGCTTATCAGCCACTTTGTATACTAAATAGACTGGTTTGGCTGTTCAGAGCTCCAGCAAGGGATTCACAGTGCAGTCTTTCTTTCAACCTGCTACAGCAGTTGGTATATGCAGTCTAGCGCAAGTGTATTTTTTGCTAAGCTCCACCTGGAAGACTGCCTTACCTAATCAGCCCTGGGGGAAGCCTGAACTCTGGGATAAGCTGCTGTAGGCTTTTTTGAATTCTCGTCTCTGTCCTTTGAACATAAGCCCTGGGTGTAGAATCATGTTTGAAGAGGGTTTTATGGGTATACGCATTTTGCTGCTGATAAGCCTGAGATTGTAGAGAGCAGCTGTGAATTAATTGCTGTATTTTCCCCTACATGTGATTTGCCAATGAAGACCTCATCGTTTTTCCCTAATTACTCATCAGAGCTCAAGTGGAAGAGTGTAGAAAAGGGCTCTTTGTGCATGGCCCCCCTGAGAAACCCACTATAGAATCCAGACTCGAGGTTGGATTCACTCTCCCTGTCACATTTCCCCTCGTAACCCTGCACATAACAGTAGTCTCACCACTTCCAAACTGTTAGTTCCTGCTGGGTCCCATGCACAGCGAAGGGGGAGGCAACCAGTGGGCCTGAACAAGGGTGCCTGCTGCAAGGATCAGACCCATTGGCAGAACAGTCTGTGGGAGGTAGCTGCACCAGCAGGGACCAAATGGCAGCCTTAGACCATGACACTCAGTGTATCCCCTGGCTCAGGAGAATGGAGTCACTGTCCAGTCTTGGGAGAAGATTCCTCTCATACCAAGAAACAAGGAGTATTGACCCTCCTGTGGCTTTCCCACCTAAGGGAGAAGCTAGTTCCAGATACATTTTATTGTTATAATGAATACACTCTAGCTTTTCTTGGGTAAATCTGCCTACCTCCCTACAAGACCATAGCCTAGTTCTTCAGCCTCTTGAAGCTGGATGGTGTCACCATGATGAATGTTGATTAGCTGCTAACTTACTGCAACTGACCATTTGCTCTGAAGAATGGAAGTAACAGATTTCTCTTCTTTATATTGCAGTATTTATGGATCATTCTCTGGCCTTGGTCTGATGGGAATAAAGGAAGAAAGCAGGAGTAGTGCCTGTTAGACTGCCAGGTTTTAGAAAAGTCTTAAGGTTTTTTTTTAATTAATTCTATACCCCAAGAACAAGAGGCTCTGCCAATGTACTTTTTTTAACATTTAAAAATAAAAACAATTCAAAACTGTTAGTGCAGCAACCCCTTCTTCTATTAACACTTCTAGATTTGGTGCTTTTGGCTGGCTAGTAGCCAGCTCAATGCTTAGGGAGCTGTGTGTGTGTGTAGATACTGCCAAGGCAAAACCGGTAAGCTGGGCTGGTCAATTTTTCTAGAAGCTGGATGGTCCCTATCTCGAGGGGTTTTAAGTCTGTAAAGGGCTTGAAAGGATACTCGTCAGCTGGGCTGTTTTCACTTGGCCGATCCTCGACAGACACACTATGCAAAATTAACGGACATCTGTCCCCCAAAAAAGCTTCTTTGAGGTTGCAGGAGCTCTACACCGGTGTTGTGGAGCCTGCTGGAAATTGGGCCTCAATTAACATTTCATGTAAAGTCTATTATAGATGGTGTGTTATGCTTTTCAGTGTCAATGAAGTAGCTGTGCACTTCATAGAAAAGCACTTTACTTTGCCCTGGGGAAGATGGAATTGTGATTCACATCTTGGGCCAATTCCACTTTTTTTCCTCATAAGAGGAAAAATTACAACTCAAGCTGCAGCAAGAGCAAAGAAAAAGTACTTAACAGGTGAAATTCACATAGGCATAATGATGAGGTTGCACGGGGTATAAGATAGGAAACCAGGACCCCACACCTACATAAAGAGGTAAAGAGCAGCAGACTTCCCTAGGCAGGAGGAGCAGCCTTGTAACCTTTTGGGTTAGGCCTAGTTTTGGAGGTAGGTTTCACAGCCGAGAGCAGAGGATGTTGGTGTCTTTAGCAGGATACAAATAATTTGCCTCATCCCCTGCCCCCATCAGGGCTTACTTTATGTCCTCACAGGTTAACTAGTTGCTGCTAACTGTTAGTAAATCAGGACCCCCAAAAAACTAAACAAGCTCTCATTTGATAGTGAGACAGTAATGCTCCAGTTGAGAAAGAGGAACATTTTTTCCTGTAAGAGAAAGCAGTTCTAGAAAGAGGAGAATTAATCAGACTGAATTATCTTGCAGTCCTGAGAAGAGGCATTCAGTTGTAAAGCAATGATTAAGGACAGGCCAAAATAATCAGTGGAGATATTAGAACATCCCACTCACCATTTTTCCACAGGATAAAGGAATTCAACTTACTCATCTGGTGAGTTACACTCTGCCTTGATCCATCCGAGGAAGTTCCCAACAAAAACAATGAATGGAGCCATTGTCTGTACTAAGAGGGATAAAAAAAAAAGCAAGATTCCCACTGTCCATTAAGCAGCTTAGTCCCCTTCTGGATATGCAGTGCTTTTACTGGTGGAACTCCTGTGGGTCAGCTGAAAGCATTCAGACCTTAGAACTATAAATGAAGATACCTGGAATGTCAGACATACAGACAGGATTTGTTGAAGGAAGGAAGGAAAGAAAGGGGAAGCAATACTGAATGTGACAAAGGTATCAAATAAACAGCAACAAGTTTAATTACGACAAAGACTGTACTGTCCTCAGTCTCTATTGCAAAGCTCTCACTAATGTCAGTGGAAGATCTGCTGTGGATTGAAGGGACTATGAACTCCTGAAATATATCCCAGCCTAAGGACTATAACTGAACATGGAATGCATCCCTCCCCTCCAAATGAGTTGGAGCCCCAAGCTGCCAACACTACACATCTAGATGAGTTACACCAGGGCAGCGGCAGCATGAGAATCAGATGGCTGGAACTGGCTCCCTGCCTGGGATCCCATCCCCCACTCCAAGCAGACCTGGGCCCAGCTTCTCTGCTGCATCATATTTTAATATAGGAGGGGAAGAAGATGCTAGGTGACCAATCTATGAACGACTGATCCAGCTCCCACTGAGGTCAATAGCAAGATTCAGACTTCAACGGGAGTTGGACTGAACTCTGGAAGTAGAGGCCCCACTGATGGCTGGCTGTACCCAGCACACCACCTTGCTTTGGTGTATGTCGACGCTGCAGCTAGGATAGTGCTTCCTAGCACAGGTAGACATATACACATTAGCTCTCCTCCAGCCGGTGCACGAAAAGTAGTGTGGCCACGGTGAACGAGCAGCAGCTCAGACTAGCTGCCCGAATACAAACTGGCCCAACCCATTTGGTACGTACTCCGGCAGCTAGCCTGAGCCCCTATCGGTCCCACTGAGGTTTTAGCTCTGCTCGAGCTAGCGTGCTAACGCATGGTCTTGCTACTTGCGCTGGAAAGTGCCCTCCCAGCTGCAGTGTGGACATAGCCTTTGATTCCTGCACTGCAAAGGAAAAGGCTTGTTTCCCCATCATGCGATTAAATGAAGCAGTCACTGCATTGCAAGCAGTGAAGACAATGTTTAGTTGGTAAACATCCAGGATCCTGTTTGAAAAGTTATGGAGATGACAAATAATGCTGGCAACAATCCTATTTATAATCATTAAAAAATAATTAAAGTTTCCCCTTTTAATTGAAAATTTATGTAAAAAGGACTTCAGCTTTAAATAAGACATTTGTACAAAGCTTTAACACAAAACAGTGAACACCAACCAAAATGTGCATTATGTAAACACCAAAATGTTCATTTGTTCAGTAATGCACCGAACAATGCTGCAAATTCCCTTTCCAGTGGATTGAATTTCTGTAGCTATCCCCCCCACAAATCTTACTGGAATACAGGAAATCCAGAAGCTTTGAAACATTTACAGAGCTCAGTAGTCAAAATACATTGTGACTAAAGGATTTTTTAAGGGATAGTTTAAATACAGAAATATTTTTACAATCTCACAGGTAAATGAAAGGCAGATCAGATTAGAAAAAAAGCACCAAAATATTTAATATACATCTGGCACAAAGTCTACAAGAAGTCGGTAATGGACAAACCAATCCCTTGCTTTTTAGAGAGAGGAAAAACCAGATTGCATTTAATGCTCTTATTTAGTAAGGGACACAGCTTAAAAAACAAATCACACCCAAGACTCCGATAAGCAAATAGAATCTCTTAGTTTGTTTGCTTTGTGCTTTTGAGAGCACATTCACTGTTTCCACTCTGTGGGACTTTCACACAGTAACAACTGGTGAGAAAAAGTGTAACCGTAAAACCACAAATATTGGCAAGGGGACTCAAAGCAGCAGGTATAGTACCTGGAACTAATATTATAAAAAGTTTCAAATTGGCTCTATCCCTTTAAAAAAAAAAAAGGAACAGGATGCACCCCAACCAATTTCAAGCATTGAAATTGCAGAGCACATCAGATACTGTTACATATATAAGAGAAAGCATGGTCCTGTAGACACCCGACACATTAGTATTTTCCAACACTGAGAAGACTGTTGGAGGGGGTATTGGGCATCTTTTAGGTAAATCCAAAAGGCAAAACATGAATCCTATGACTATTCCCAGGTATGTAACTATGGTGGAGTGTTCTCCTCAGACAAGGTTTTTCTCTCTCCCTGCCCCCAGCTGGTTTTAAGCAGGAATGCCGCTTAAGAGAATCAAGTGCACTGACTTGTTACATAGATACTGGACAATATTAAACCAATTGTGTTCACATATGATTGAGTGAAAGCCACATGAAGTTGTCCAAAGCTGAACAGTTCTAGGTTAGCTTTAGTTATTTCTCTGGGGATATATAAGCTATATAAAAATGATTCCTCCTGTCACGGGCAAATTGAGGCTAGGTCTATACTACGGAGGGGGGGTGGTTTACCTAAGATACGCAACTTCAGCTACGCGAATAGTGTAGCTGAAGTTGCGTATTTTAGGTCGACTTACCTGGCTGCGAGGACGGCGGCGAGTCGACCGCTGCTGCTCCCCCGTCGACTCCGCTTCCGCCTCTCACTGCAGTAGAGTTCCGGAGTCGACGGCAGAGCGATCGGGGATCGATTTTATCACGTCTACACTAGATGCGATAAAAATCGATCCCCGATGGATCGCTAGCCGCCGATCCAGCGGGTAGTGAAGACGTGCCCTAAGACTAAGTCGGGCTCAGATCCATCCAAATATTAAGTGTTACAAGAACAAACCTTGCTCTCCTCAAACTATTTTACTCTCAGCAGTCCACTTCTAGACAATATTCCTTGATCTTGCCCTCACACTCAGTGACTCACTGCTGCTACAGCCCCTCACGCCAGCCATCATGGATCCCAAATATCCAGCCTTAGGAGTCAATTCTGCAAGCTGCAGCAACTTCTCCAGGACCTGAATGGCCAGCAACAAGCAGGATTAGGTCCTTAATCTGCTCCTGCCTCCCTTTTTCCCTTTCATTCATCATCTGATCTTTAAAATATCCTTTAAAGAGCAAACACGCTTTTCAGATCACTGTTTACAGATACGCTAGAAACTGTAGCCTTAAAATATTAAGCACTATGCTGTAAAGTCCTCTAATGCTAGCACTGTATTCCCATAAGTGTAACAGCAGCCAGCCTTGAGCTCCGCTGGAATTTCATGCAGATCTGTCATTTCTGTCATGCATGACTTGTCCTGTTTAGTAAACCAGGGACAGCAAAACAAGTTTCACTGCTGGTTCTGCATAAATGGCAATATTCAAGTAAACATGTATTCCACAGCAGGTAACCTTCAGCTCCAAAAGTATAATTTAAGGAAAAAAAGTTATAGCATAAACAAAGACAAAATGCTTTTCTGCCGGTGTATAGGACTATCTCCAAATATCCAGAGGGGGCTTATTTGAAGAGAGTGCAACTATGCAAAGGTAGGAGTTTAAAAATTGTACAACCGCCAAAAAACAGTTAGGCTTATATAAAACTAAAGACAGAAAGGTTAATTACTATACCAGAGAGGAACTGCTATAAATTCCATAGATCATTTAAGGCAAGCTGTTTGCAGAACTAGTCTGTTCAAGCCTGTTGCTTCAAAAATTCCCAATTTTTTATTTTATTTTGCTTCTGCACAGATAGTGCAGGAGGTCAAATGAATTACCTACTCACTAGCGGAAAAACCCACAACAGCTCTGAGTTTGGAAGAATGGTCTTACAGCTGCACCAGCTGCTGCGTAGCATATAGATCAGGCTTAGACAGACAGTAATTTTGCTATGCATTTTGAATGGGAGGGAAGAAGTGGCACGTGAAGACAACACCCAAACGGATTAAAAGAAAGCAAGAGTTAAACTAGCATGCCATCATCTCTAACAATTTAAGAACTTAGCTTTTCTTGAACATAAAGTTACACGTTGATCTTGAGAGGCAGGAGAGAATGGACACAGCTACTGAAGCTGAATTGGTCCAAACAAATGGAAGGTACAAAACTGATTAAAATGCTACAGTTACAGCCTAACGTGGAAGGAGGGCAATGAAACATACAAACATTTCTCATGGTACTTACTGCATTGGGTGGGTTCTTAACACATTCTAAGAAACAAATTGAATAGGCCACCCTGTTCACAATTAAGGAATGGCTTTTTGATCTCCAAGGGAAGGTCTGTTTGTTACTGATATACTCTAGCCCAAAGGGGGTGGGGGCGGAGGAAGAGGAACCCCCAACACCACAAGAGTGACTTTATATTTCTCCTACATTGTAGGATAGCTAACATCCCGAATGACCTAAACTTGTTCAGCAGTTTGACATGGTTCTGGGTGTTTTAGATACATGGGAATGGCCCATTATAAGATTCAATGAAGCTGCATGCACATTATTAGCCGTACTTTGAAGACTGCAGTGAATTTAAAGAGACAGATAATATAATGAAGTAGATTAGTTATCCAGATATAAAATCTTGGAAGGAAAGAATGGTGACACTTAACCACTCAGTAAATCTAAGAACAGATCAACAACCAGGTATTACATGGTGAATGAATTAAAGCCTTCTTTCTTACAGTGTGATGTGTTTTATTGCAGTTATAGAGTGAAATTTGAATTCTGGATGCATATTGTCAATAGTTTGGAGAGAGAAAGATTATTACATACACGCATGTGTGCGCGCCTGACTATAACAAAATTAAGCAGACACCTAACTTTAAACATATACAGCAATTTAGAGTACATATTCTTCAGTATGTGTGTGTTTGGTCTTTTAATGAAATACTAAACTGAAGAATTTTTTTAAGACACTTTAGGTATCATCTGAGATTCATTTTTAAACATGAAGGGCTAAATTCTGCCCTCAGACATGCACACCTTTCCATGAAACTCAGCCCAAGAGTAGAGTCTGGTACCCAATTAACTAAGGCTCTCTGTGACATCATACTGTAGAACACACAGCTGCAAGACCTGGAAATTTACAAGGCTATGCCATGAATGAGAAGGATATAATTTCAGCTGCCAACCATGATATCAGAGCTGAAGTGACTTTAATCACCAGAGACTAGAGATGGAGTTTACTTGTTCAACACCGTTTCATAAATTGTTTATAAACTAAGAGGTTAGTTTTATTTATATTATATAAATAAAATGAAAGGGATATTCATATTGAGACCGTCTCATGTCAATACCAAGGACTATTCTCTTGGGGTTATATCCATTTCCCAGAACATGTGTGATAAGCTGAATTGTTTCTAGTTTTATTTTCCTGTGGTTTGCGTAGTAGAATTGCGCAATATTAAAGCTGTAATTTTCCATTTAGAATCACCTGCAGCAAATGGATTCACATATTCAACATCTAGTCTCATTTAATGTATTCTCAGTCACGTTTAACTACCATCCAATGTGCGTGATCTTGCAAAGGATCCTTTACTTGCGAGACTAGTCCTATTTGACCTCAATGGCAGTACTCACACGAATAAGGAGTTTGCAGGATGGAGCTCCAATTAATCTGGGATACTAAATTTTAAAAGTGTTGTGAGCCACAATACTACATAGCTGTCTAACACTCAGTGTTTTCACGAGTCACATTCTTTAGGTGTAGAAAGGAAGGCAATAAAATGACACGAAGCTTGGATATCAGACCATTTTCCCAGTCGATGACAAACTGTTGCAATGCATATCTACAGCTACTTACCCCAAGATGTAGCAGTTTCATTCACGACATCATCAAGTTTTAGCTATACTTCTTGAAACCATCAATTTTTTTGTGTTGCTGATTTTTAAAGAATCTCATCAGCATCATGCCCATTTATAATCCTTTGATCTACACTTTAAAGATTTTATATATATTTATAAAAAATGTGAATATATTTGGCCTATTCCGTGGAAGTTCACAGTTCAACCATTAAATGAGGACTTCTCAGAGGCTCCGGGATTAATAAAGAACATGTACAGAACTCCAAGCCCATGACCAATATAGTGAGCATTAAAAAGCAAGCTATATTTGATGTTTAGGATCATCAAAATATCAGGCAATCCAGAATAAGTACTGTGACTGTCTGACACTCACATTGTCATGAAAAGTTGCACAACTCAAGCAAAGAACAGATTGTTAGACTTTGTAGTCCCTGGTTTGTATCAATTTTAAAATCACAAACTTGACTTTTTGTATTGTTTCTCTTCTGTAATCCAAAAGTGACATTTAGTATAGAATAAAAATAAATGGCTTTTTTTCAAGATAGATTTGGCTAGCATTATAAGTGTTTGGTATCCAATAGGCTGGAATGATTCCTGCTAGAGTAAATAACGATAGAACAGGGCTTTCTTTTTGTTACAACAGCATGGCACCAAGCCACTCAGGTTTGCATTTTTTTCAACCGGAATTTCCCCTCTTTCACACAACTACCTCCACCATCCTGCCTTGGCAAACCACCCTGAATTACACCTAATGGCTAACCCTTTGTGCTGTAGAATTTTCCTCTGTACCCCAATTCATATTCAGATCAGACCTTAAAAACACTCTCCAGTTTCTAGGCCATAATCCTTTGTAGCCATTACAGTCGATTAAGTAATGACTGTCACAATTTAGTACTTATGTGCATGCAATAAGTATACATTGAGCAACCAATTTTCAAACTTTGGGCATTTTAAGTTCTTTTTAGGAGGAAGTGAAGTGATTTAACAAAAAAAATAAAATACAAGATACTAGAACATTACCAGAATACACATGTAGCCTTAAAGTTATAAATAAAGAGCCTTTCCATTTATGCTCAGGCCAAATCTACACTTAACGGTTTTGCTGGCATAGAAATGTTGGTTTGAGGTGCGAATTCTCACATCACCAGCCCCAACCATAGCGGTGTGTTATCAAAGGGCCTAATATAGATAACAGCTTTACTGTCAAAAAAAGTACTCTTGCTTAATTTGCTTACCAAACCAGAATGCTTATACTAGCAAAAGCACCTGTTTACTGGTATAACTGTCTACACTAAGATGGTTTTGCCAGTATACAGACAAAATGTACACAAAGCTTCAGCATATATTTAATTACCAGGAACCAAGTCCTAAATTTTGTGTTTCTCCTGAAAGTTGACAACCTTTTTTATACTTGAAACGGGAGTAACATTAGTTTTCCATAATTTTTACACATCCCTAATGCACGCAGAACACTGACCTCTCACCATGGTGAGAAGATGTAATTTGAGAAAAATCTTCTTAAACAGATACCTACTTTAGTTTAATTACACAAGCATTGTTAATGATGCAGGATCTCAAAACAGATCTTGCCACTGGATTTGCTAGCATGCAGTGACCATTGTGAGAGTCCGCCGGGGCATCTGCCTGGCCACTGGGATGCAAAGTAGCAATTTACAATTTGCTTTAAAGAGCCCTACCGCACAAGAACCATTGGACAATAGGAACTAATTGCTCACCAGTTTCATTTTTAAATTTAAGTCATTTTACAACTCTGAAAATAAAGTTGTATAATAGAAATGTATCAAATATATGGAGCCAATGCTTAGCTTAATAGAAAGCCTCAGCAGTTATCCCTTTTACCAAGAAGTATAAAAAAGCTGATATACTAAAATTAAAAAAGGTAGCATCAATAACCAACAAAATTTCAACCAGTGTTAATAAAACTCCCTTTTTAGGTCACAACAGACAAATAATCCCAGTACAGGTAATTTAAAACAATAAATTGAGTCTTATTTAAACATTATTAAATCAGCCTAAAAATGAATTGTCTACAGTGTTGTCATTAAGAACACATTGAAGAACTCACTTTTTCGTTGGGTGCCAATGTTGTTGCTGCCCCAGAAAATTTGGAGGGATGTAACTATGCTTTAGCAATTAAGTATAGGTTAAAAAATTGGTTTGTCAACATTAATGCAAGAGATCATCCCTACACAGGTGTACTGCACTTGCCAGACAAATAAGTTGATAATACTTAAGAACAGATCAAGTGTAAATTAAAGCAGATTTACATACCCCAGTTTCCCTCGAAAGCAGCTTTTTTTTGCTTCTGTTAATGTTTACCAGCCATAAGATGCAGAACCTTTGGCTCCAAAGTATTTTCACATAGCCATAAAAATATGAATGACTTCTTCAGCAGAAAGGAAAATTCATCAAGGAAGTCTACTTCCAGTAAAACTGAGGTAGCACTGCTCTTTTGCATGTGATGCTTAAGTAATTTAGATACAAAGTGTTAACTACAGTTCAGTTGACTGACAGGTACAGTATGTTTTCATAAATAAAATCCAACATTTAGTTCAACACTCCAAAAAAAGAATGACCTGAACTCATGTTTTTTGAGAGTTAGCTTAAAATGGGATTTAGCCATATTACAAAAAGCAGTCGCTTACATTGTTTTTAAGAGGGAATTAATGCATTTGTAGTTAGCAGTTAACACTGCTATTCATATTGGTATAAAACCTTAAAATTAATATAACCTAAAATTTCAACAATGTAAACAGCACTACACACAGTACAGACCTGCCCTGATAGGTGTAGGATACAAAACTTGAATCTGGCACTGTATAATTTAGCAATGTTAATTTAAACTTAACAAAAAGATCTACATTGTGCAAGAAATGTCAGACTTCTACTAATCTGAAATCTTAAAAAAACAAAAAACAAAAAAAACCAATAACTGTTTTTAACTTGTAGCCAGGGTCAAATATTTCAGGGCAAGAGTTGAAGGTATAACCAAAATTAAGAAAGTGCCTAAACCATGATACAGCATTTTAGAGCCCTTTCAAATACAAGGCAGAGAAAGGTGTAAAGTAGAAAAATCTGGAGCCTCAGTAATTTCCAGAAAGGTCCAGAGTTTACATTTAATGAAGGGCAACAGGTTATTTCTGTCACTGCTGCTTAAACGCTGTTAAGTCTGTTCTTCTATACACGGACCCTCTGTGTCTGAACATGTAATACATTTGGTTTCCTCTTCTTTTTTCCTTCGTTCCATTTCCCATTCCACAAAGGTATCAAAGAGACTAGGCCAGGCCTCATCTTCACTGTAGTTGCTAAGGTCTGGTCCAATCACCTGAGTAAAATTTAGAAACATGTTCCATGTGTCCCGGGAGATTCCCTTAATTCCTGAGGGGTTCTCAATTAGGAAGTTTAACCACTGGTCCAATATAGGGGGGTTATTTTGGGTGAAGACTAACTTCCAAAGGGCAATGGCTATTTCCCGATGTAGAGACCTCTGTCCTTCTTCAGAGTCCAGGCCAAACTGAAAGGTGAAACGATAGAGATCCTTGAATTTATCTTCTTGTTTGGCTTCATTTAAGAGGCTGGGGAACCTAGAACAAATGCCATCAATGCTGTCCGCATTTATTGCTTTGCAGCCCTCAAAGAACTCCTTCCTATTAGCAAAAGAAAAACTGTTAGTATCTTCACACACAAACTATAAAACCCTATCTGAATATAGCCACTTAGAGCCAAAAATGTACCTCCTTTGATAAGACTAGTACGGCTAAGTACTGCAAAAATCAGCACACCCTCCCCTTTCATCTGAAGTATTTACATGTCAGCTGTGAGAGCTGCTAAGTAGCCTGTTCAGGATGAAATCTGAATTTTAAAAGTTTGTAATGACTTTTGAATCCAAGTTTGCAGCACTGTTAAATTACACTACTGGGGTGCCATTAACATTTGAAAGGGATTATTCTGTGTGGCCTGAATGGGCAATGCTTCGCGTTCCTCTTATCTTTACTTTTAAGTGAATCTAACACTGGAGAGATGCCAGATTGGCAGGCTTGAAGGCTCCCTCTTTTTTCCCCCACCAAAGCATAGTACAGGCAACATCAATGCAAGCTACCCTGGGTGCCTGTCCCAAATAATGCTTTGGAGATACCACTCTTAAGGGGCAACTTCAAATGCAGTGATCCTTCAGTCTTTGGTTCCTCTGCCAAGACTGCAAAATGAGGGTTCTGGTTGTGATAGTCAATGATCAGGCAGGCACCTGCTCTCCAGGCACTGATCAGAGATCACCAACTCAATCTACATAGGCTACTGAACAGTTATATACAAATGGTCTTTAGTTCCTACAATCTAGGGACATTTTTAACCTGACAATCTACAGGTAGACAGCTCTGTTCTCCTACTAGCTCCATGGCCCGTCCAGTTCCCATGGTTAGGTTTCATATGATAATAAGCACATTGTGGACTTTTCTCTGTTTAGAGAAAAAATAGAAGTTGTACTTTGAGAAACAACCCACCCAATGCAAGCCAGACTGCCTGAAACCTACTGCTACGTATGATAGCTATTTTACTGGTGAAAGGATGTCACTGACAGTCTGCAGCAGGAAGAGCATTATATTGGTGCTGAATGGAGCCAACCTAACAGTTGTGCAGTACCATGCACAAGACTTGATATACCAACTCCTTTATTTCCCAGTGGACATGGCTAGTAGTCATGAGGCAACCGCACAGAAACAGAAAAGTTATTGGGCATTGGAACTTCCTAGGACAAAGTGCAATAATCCTGGAGACTCTTGTTGGTAGTATAGTACTGGAAAGCCCAACCTCCAGCATCTAATGTGAGGCCATCCATTAGTGTGCTATGCAAATAGTTTTCTTAAATCTTTTGAAATTATGGCCACTAGCTATTTGATTAGAGCTACTACAAATCTAAATATTCGGAAGAGAGGATCTGTCTTCTTTGACTGGGCATTGAAAAACTCAGGATTTTGGTTGGCTTGGTTTTTGTTAAGTATACTTGTGGGGAAATCCTGCACCACTGCATGGGCACAGAATTCACATCTGTAGATTTCTTTGCTTCCCCACAGAAAAAATGACTTTTTCCCTAAGCAAAGGGAAGTTGCAAGAGTGGTCATGTGCCCCCACCCTCCGCAGTGCTGGTGTGTGGTTTTGGGTGCCCAGAGCAGCGGGCGCAGAGGTAAATCAAAGGGGGGGGAGGGAGCTGGGGATGCCCTAGCCTGTGCCGGTCAGACCCACCCCACGTCCGCCCAACCCCCATGCATCCAGACACCTTATACCCAGACCTCCCCACCCCATACTCGGACCCCCCACTGAGCCTCACCCCCCCTCACTCCCAGAATCCCCCCCACACCCAAAATGCCCCTGCCAAGCTCCCCCAGCCCCACCTGGGGCTGGAGACGCCCCAGCTCGTAGCGCCTACCTTGCGCCGGGCTCACCTCCTGCTCTGAGGGTTGGGGGGGGGGAGGAGCACACTTCCGACCCTGGCCACTCTATGCGGGGGGTCTGACCCACCCCCAGAAACCTTCCCCAGCTCCACATCTTGCCCCACTTCCTGCCCCCATCGCTCCAGCCGTGGGGGGAGAAGTCGCCCATCAGCCCAACCCCATGCATCCAGACTCCCCCACACCCAGACCCCCCGGCTGAGCTCCCCCACTCCACCACCCAGAACCCCCCCCAAACTCCCACCCCACCGAGCACCAGTCCCCCACCTATGGAGCCCGATGAGCCCCTCCCTCCTGCACCGAGACCACCACCCACAGAGCCACCCACACTCGAACCCCCATCCTGAGCCCCACCCCTTATGCGCCTTGACCACCCCACTGAGCTCCCTGCACCTGGACCCCCACCCCACCAAGCCCCAACCAGCTGCACCTGGACCCCCACCTCACAAAGCCCCATTCCCCCCGGCTGACCCCCAACCACTTTCACCTGGACCCTCCTGCAAAGCCCCATTTCCCTCCCCCCCCCCCCACGAGCCCCTGTGCATCCAGATCCCCCACCCACACACGGACCCCCCCAACTGAGCCATCCGCACCCAGATTGCCCACACGGAACCCTCTCACACCACTCTTGGGTCCCCCCAAATGAAGCCCCTCCCCATTTGGATCCTGCCGAGCTGAGTCTGCCTGGTGCAGAGAGGCAGGGCCCCAGGGTGTTTCTGGGGCAAGCCTGCCCCTTGCACTGTGTCAGGTTTGGGTGCAGCCTCAATGCCGAGTCTGTGTCCGGGGGGAAGGAGAGGAGACTTCTGAGTGATCTTCTACCTCTGTGCAGCCAGCCTCCACATTTTACTGACAAATAAAATCTGCAGAATTTTAAAATATTGTGCATAGAATTTTTTTTTTGGTGCAAAATTCCCTCAGGAGTATAATTAGGAGTTTCCCTTCTCCCCAATACTGTGAAACGTGCTAAAAGGCAACTGGTTGCCACCCTCCATCTCAGAGAAAGCTACACTTCAGTGGTGCTGTAAACATACAGTGTTTAAAAGCATTGCTGCTGACCAGTGTGAAAGACACTACACAAAAATGTAAAAACAAAGAAAAACATTTTGGCCTCTAGTTCCTAGAATGCACAAATGCCACGTCCAACACTGGCAGTCTGGGAACCTTGTACCGGAGATGAATTTACTTAGTAGGCTGTTTTATCCGAATGGTAATGGAAAGTAAGTGCAGTGGATTACACAGATATTAGTAGCTGACTTTACGTTACATTTCTCTTATTTGCATTAAAGTAGAAATCAGTTTCAGCAGTATCTAACATTACTATCAAGTTGGTACTCGAGAGGATAAGACTGATTGTGAGATGTCAGCGTTATACTGAAGTTCGGAGATTGCTAATGCACTTTTCACCATAGGCAGTATAATTTCTGAAGTATGCCTTCAAGCGCAGAAGACTGATGTGTTGCAGAAAATGAACGGTATTTCCTTTCATAACTAATTTTTTTTGCTGAAGTTCAATCAAATTATATGAAAAAGGAATGAGCATGCAAAGTTAACAGGGCTTCTCACCAGCGTACAGAAGAGAGAATATATTTGAACATATAAAATATTTACAAGTGCTGTAGGAACTAACCTTGTAAATTTGCACATGGTAGCTGCCTGGAATTTCCAAGCCAAAACTAGCACTTTAAATTCAGTGGGGTCAACACAGAGGTCATTACAAAAACGTTCCATGCCTTCTTCCAGTATGGCATCTTCTCGTTCGTCCTTGTATCTCCTAAACAATTCCCCAATCCGCTGAAGTGACGATTCCTCGGTGCCGGAAACCGGCTCTTTCTTTGCATCCCCAGAGAAAGTTGGAGGTTGACTAGAATCTAAAGCAGTATCCGTTTTCTTTGTCCCATTGACAAGTATGTCACCAGAGGATTTTGCACATACTGAGGTATGTTCTTCTTTGTGAACTGCACTTCTTTTGCCATGAGACTTGCTGCTAGATTCTCTATCTCCATTTTTGCTGCCAAGGGTGGAAGAAGGATTCTTGCACTTAGTGACACACTGGCCCATGTTGGTGCAAGCCCAGCTTTTAGAGCAGTCCCCTTCTGATCCGACGCCCTCTCAGCTGCTGTTCAATGAACTTCAACATGCCATCAGTGGGAGTCGACTAACCTGGAAATAAGGTTTAAAATCAAATCACTGTTTTCCCACGGAGACCATATTAAGTAGTTAAGTAACATTCACAGAAAAATAAACAAGAGACTAACTTCAGGAGTTTAAGCTTTGCTTACTGAAGAGGAATAATGTACAGAAAGCTAGTGTATGCCATAAATACAGGCAATTTCAACTAAGGTCTGTTGCTTTACCTAGAAATCAATGCAGCTCACTCAGCAGCTGCAGTATACTAACGGGTCCTAATAAAGGAAATTCCTAAAATTCTTACTGTAACATAGGTTACAAAGAGGTTGATTCATGTGCAGAATTCATCAAGACAGACTACTCCAACCCAGAAATATTTTAGAGGAAATCATTTAAAAAACCATGATATACTTAACATATAGAATACAAGACTGTGAAACAAAGCAACATAAGCCAAGGACACTATGTTCTGTCAGAAACCCCAGCATTAACTGGCTTTTTGTTGGCTTTGGTCAGTTTCTGACCAACATCTGAAATCTAGTTTTTTGTTTTCACATATGTATGCATGCTGCATGTTTACAGAGGGGGGAGGTGGTTAAAAGGGGACACGCATCTTTCCTGGAAGATTATAATATGTATTTAAAAGAAGGGCAATTCATGGTTTCAAGTACCTATCCCAGTCCCTTGGGAGAGAAGGAGTATGAGGGGCTGCAGGGGGATTTTCCAATGAAAGTTTCACACACACATACTAAGGAATTAATACTTCCAATTTCAGTTTATAAATTTAAACCAAAAACCATAATTGCTTTTGTAGCCATTTCATTCTAATCAAATTATGAAAGTTATACACTCTATAAAAAAGTTGTTTTACCCATGCAAAAAGATTCAGATTAAAAACTAAAAGAAATCCTTTGACAACTATCATGCCAAGGGGCAGCAGTTTTAGGGCTTAAACATTTAGGAAAATCAGAGTAACTCAAAGTACAGATTTGTATATCTTATTTCTCCTCCTCAAGTCCACCAGTCATAACTATTGGTTTGTATCTTGCCTCTGTCAATTAAGCAACAGCCTCCAATGAGAAACTGGACTTTTAGTGCCTTTTCATTACAGCTTCCCTGTTACTTTACTGCCACAACCTGGAACCAGTGAGAGATGAGAAAAGGAAGAGTAAGTAACCAAGGTAAAATACAAAAAAGGCAAATAGAGAAAGATGCGTTATTCCTTCCTGCCCTTTGTCTATTCAGGTTGTAAGTGCTTCAGGACTTGGAACTGTAATTGTAAGGCAGTTGCCAGTTACCACTACCAGAAGTGGTACCAAGGGCAAATGATTGCTTCAGAAACTAAGGGTATGTTTACACTGCAATCAGAGGTGTGACTGCAGCACATTAGTTATACTGGAGCTAGCTTTAGTCTAGCTAGCACAGGTACCAATAGCAGTGACGCACAAACGGCAGTGCTTGCTAGCCGCCCAAATACATACCCAGCATATCAGGCAGGCTTGTACAGCCTGTACAGAAGCCTGTGCTGCTGCTGCTTCATTGTTCTAAGTACCGGCACTAACTAGATTAAAGCTAGCTAGGGTATGTCTACATGTACTGCAATCAATCAATCACACACACAGTCCCCCCCAATGCAGTGGAGACATACCCTTAGAGCCTCTTCCTCTAGAGGAGTCTTTAATAGTGAATGAATATAAAAAATTCCAGAAAACTAATTCAACAGAGGTGGCCATTTTGAGTCCTCAAGTAAGCAACAGCAATTTAATCATTATATTTTCTCTCATCCCACAAGCAATACATTCATATATGTTTATCTTGTTTTGACCATTTGTTCCGATGGTGGTAGGTAAGGCTGTTAGTTTCACAGTTCACTCAATATACTGTAACTCAGCCATTATGGCTCGGTTTTTCCCCCCACTCTAAAAACCAAAACAACTTTTTCCTCATTATTCCATTCAGTTTGCTAGAAACTAGAGATGGAAGAGACTTCTTAGATACTGAACAGGCATCCTGTGGTTCCAACAGTCCAAATCCTTGACATCTTTTAGGTAATCTGCATCATTTGAGATACCATTTGTATATGGGGGCAAGTATTCATTTAATGTTTGTAAAGCTCTGATTTAACAGTGCTATCTATATTAGTTCATATTTTAAGGGTTCACTTAATTGTTTTTATTTTCCCCCAATTATTATAAAAACGGCTGCTTGTTTAAAAAGCCAAATGCTACTTGACATTACTGTTATAGCTCTTTGATAATTAAATCTGCAATCTGCCTACAGGTCCACTTTGCCACTTTCCCCAACAGTTTGCATCACAGTAATTTCACTCTACTGAAAGTCACTCAATTGTGAATGGAACACTACTGTATTGAATGCAAATTCCAGGATACCAACTCCCTCCTGGATTTACTTAAATTGATCTGAGTCTGAATCCCAATTGACTTGTGAATGGATGGCTAATAGCTCTATCACCTTCCAGAAGTAATACGCAGTACTTAGGTAACTGAATAATGTAGCTACCACAGATTAAGTTTTTGTTTTTAAGTAAAGCATGGAAGAGAAACTGAGTAAAATGAAAATCCAGCGTTATAGCAAATATTTTTTAGAAAGGTAGGCGTCTGGCAGGGTATAAACCATCATGCATATGGGTGTAAGACAACGTCTAGCTGTTGGGAGTTAGGAAAACTTCCCCTCTGGGCAGAATATCCCATAACTGCCTACTAGTGCAGGATTTAGTGCAGGTACTGGCCCAAGCCAGAGGCAGGATACTGGATGGATCACTACATGGGTCACTGATCTTATCCAATATGGCAATTCTTATGTTCCTATACATCTAGAAAGAAGAGAAGAAAGTTCACAGTGCATGATTGTGATTTACATAATCAAGCTTCAGAGTAGCAGCCGTGTTAGTCTGTATCCGCAAAAAGAACAGGAATACTTGTGGCACCTTAGAGACTAACAAATTTGAGCATAAACTTTCGTGTGCTACAGCTCACTTCATCGGATGCATGTAGTGGAAAATACAGTAGGAAGATATAGATAGATAGATATATATATATACACACACACACACACACACACACACACACACACACACACACACAGAGAGAACATGAAACAATGGGTATTACCATACACACTATAAGGAGAGTGATCAGTTAAGGTGAGCTTTTATCAGCAGGAGAGAAAAAGCTGTATGTGTGATTGTTGTTCTCCTGCTTCCTAAGTAACGATTGGTTTCACCACAGAAAAAGATTTCTGATATTTTTAAGTCTGCTCATGTCATTTTTTACAATATGACAATGTTGATCTCATTACTACTTTTCCTAATGACAGTGATTATATTACATAGCATGAAGGTCTCAGTCAGTCAATGTTATCAACAGACGCTGTAGGTGAGAAGATCTTATCGTCATGGTAGTTTCAGAAAATGCTGTCAGAAGTTAGTTTTAGGTTAACCTATATTGTGCAACTTAACCAAGTCTATTGTTTCAAATAAGCGCTTGCCCACGCACCTCTCCCCTTCAGAAAAGATTTTCCTATATTCCAATCCATCTGTCTTTTATTATGAGACTAGCTGTCTGTTAGCAGTGCTTTACTAATAATAGCACAACACCCACACCAGCAGAGCCCAGACAGTGTCAGCTATTTGTCCAGAAATGGAACATCTCCCTTCCCTCTACTGAGTAGCTGTTCCAAAACGTAATCCTACCTACTACAAGCAGACATCAGAAGAGATTTAAAGTACCACTGTTGTAATTCCTCACTTCTCTTGTAGTATAGGAAACCTGAGGCAACGTTCCAATTCTTTTAAGTACTCTTGCTCCAAAAATAGAAAAACCAGCTTTAAAAAAAAAAAGTGTCCAGCTACCTCCACAGTCAATTTCTCCACATATCTTGTTCTGCAACTTTCTGGTTGTTTTCCAATGTTGCTTCAGTGTGGGAATGCTGTTCTCACACTGCTGGATCCACTCCGCTTGCTTGCTAGTCTTTTTTGCTTCCCATTCCACTAGCGTTTCAAAAGTGAGAGATGCAACAGAATGGGATGGAGAAAAGAAAATTGTGCACATGGGGAATTATATTTCTTATTGGGAGAGATGGGGGAGAAGAGATCCAATTGCAGCATCAGGAGCTATGGTGAGAGTTCAGACTTTAGAGGGGATCAGAAAAAAAAAACTAAGCTTCTGATTATAAAATGAGTATAGGAAATAAGCAACATGATCTCGGTCATCTAGTATGACCAAGCAAGCCCAACTGAAACTTGAGGAGCTGATTCTCAGTTAGAATGTTAATATGAATGGGTAAGTTCAGATGTATCCAAATATTAAGATTGTTGTATTAGAAGGCAGTGTAATTGCCAGAAGCCGTAAGGACAGAGTAAAAAAAATGTACACTAAACATATTTATAAATAAGTGAGTGGCAATTTGATAAAAACATCAGGACAAGTAAATAATGATAAAAACTAGAGGAAAAAGCTGCAGGTACCACTAGTTATAGACTACTACTGCTAGAGAATAAAATCTGAGACCAAAATCTGAGGAAATCAAAGCCACGGGATACTGTACTCCTGAAGGATTTTGACTCAGCCAACTGTTGAGCAAAAATTTACAGCTAAGCATGAATCATCTAGAGAGGTCTATGTTATGAGGAAGACAGGCTCATGAACCAGAAAGTGGAGAAGCCATAGCACTATTGTGAATCTACTTTTTCCAACCAGAAGGAAGCAACTGAGAACCCAGAGCTAGTAGTCACCACCACTAAGAATAAGATTTGCAGACCTCAATATTACACATGAAATAAAATTAAAGAGGTAGAAACCATTAGGAAGATCTTATTAATACAGCCATTAATTTTAAAATGTGGGTAAGAAAGTAATTGGGGAAAAAGTGGGTAAGAAAGTAACTGAAGGGAATAAAACTGACTCCTTCATAGCAATTATTTTTGAAGTCAAAGAAACAGGAACATTCCATAAGAATGGCAAAAAGCCAGCAGGTTTGGGGTTTTTGTTGGGGGTTGGAGGGTTCAGTTAAGCAATGCCTTCAGTTTAACTGCAACCACTAATATAATGGAACCAAGAGTGAGACAAGAATCCGTTAACACCTGAAGAATAATGAAGTCATGAGCAATAAACAGCATGTGGTTTATAGAAGAAAAACAGCACCAGAATTTTTTAAATTAAAACTTACAAAATTGAAAGGAGAGCAATAGGACAAAATGTCAGGAGGTGTCGGGGGAAACCCAAAACAGATCTCCCTTCGTTGCATGAAAGAAACGAAAAGTTTAGGGATTTCCACTACAAATGGAAGTTCAGCTAATTGGTATACCCCCTTCCATCGTAACCCAGGGAGCATACTCCATGGTAACAGCATGGCTGAAGTTCTGCAGGATATCCTCACTGTCTCAGCATCTCCCAGCAAATCCATACAAAGTTTCCAACAGAAATTAATCCAGACTCCTACAGAATCCTGGATGTATGGCATGACAACATAGTATCCAGAGGAGCAGAGGCTATTGGGAGCAACATGGATGTTCCAGCTCTGTTCAGATGCTCCAGAATGCGTAGTATTTCTTAGGATACATGTAAGAGGGTATTACACTGCTACCTCTTCAGGCTCTTTCACTTTTCCTCCTATCCATCCAAGGTTTCCACCTTGGAAGCTTTACAGATGTCAACTCTAGTTATCTTACTCTGAGAGGGGAATGGTCAGGCTGCTCTAATAACAGTTTTACCTTCTCAAATGTCTATTCAGCGTCACAAAAAGTTTAATACTTACATAAAAAAAGAAATGATCCCCCGTGGATTTGAGATTAAGTTTCCTTCAGACTTCCAGGTCTCCACATGGAATGCTGTAAAACAAGAGGACTACTCAGAAACCTTTACACTTTAAAAGCAGACTGCAATAACTGTAAAATGCACCTTTAAAAATACAACCACCTACTACTATATATGAGAACACCTGATGAATTTGCAATTTTTTTACACAACTAAAATCTATTTGTTGTAATAGTAACATTTCTACAAACGATGTAGCCTTTCAATTAGTCAGTGATTAGAGCAATATTAGCCAGCATTAGCTCAGTTTCAGAGATAATTAGCATCAGATTACTACATTGTTATTTGTACCCAGAATATAATTAAGGTATTGGATACAGCAACACATTTTATCTCAATGGAAGTTTCAACTTACAGCCATTTCAGTAGACTGCGCTTTTATGACTTTTAGCAAGGTGCTTCATTTCTTGCATTCAAGACAAGTTAGAGTGCATACTCTAGTATATGCACCAACCAGCAATTAGTAGCGAGTAAGGGGACATCCAATCCCTAGGAGAACCAAATAAATACCACTTTCAGTGTAGCTCTACTCTGAAAAGGGATCGCTCCCCTCCTCCCCAAAGAGCATTGTAAGGTTCCACGTTTATTGTGCCTCATGGACGTCCAGATAAAACACAGGCAGGGTATGTCTAGACTAGAGCTGGAAAGTGTGAATTGCAGCTGGAGGCAACATACACACACCAGCTCAGAGTTAAAATAGAAAATACAAAAAACCACAAAAATAGAAGGATAGCCGCAACAGTGCAAGCGGCAGGAGGCACTAGAATATGATGCCCCGAGTAAGATCCTGTCCAAGACCACAGGACAGGTTAGCCTCTCCCGCCAGTCGCACTGCCACAGTTACACTCGTGCTGCCATTTTTGGCGTGTTCGTTCCGATCAAGCTTGTGCAGGTATGTCTCCCTGAGCTGGAATTTACACCTTCCGGCTCTAGTGCAGACATAACTATCTTTCTTGGCAAACAGAGGGTTTCTTAACTCCCAGCTCTGCAAATTCAACCCCAAATCTGAAAAACAGGCTGGGTTCTCTCCGGCTTATGCAACAGAAGTTCTGATTGCAGAACCTACTCAACAACTGTGTTCATGCACAAGTTAGAAAAGAATCTCAGCTCACTCTTCTGGAGCGGCATTGGCTCTGCAGTACTAATAAGAGTAGTAAAGAAGCACATATGGCTCAGTACATTCAGGGAGCAGAGTCAGTTGATTGAGAGGTGCCACTTCTTTGCTCACTGTTTAGATTGAAACGGCTTGTTAAGAAGCAAGCTGGAGACCTGCTCATACCCATAGAGCTTTTCCAATGGAAAGCAGTAGGGAGTGGATGGGGAAATGACAGTCCATGTTTCCTTGAACTGCTTTTGACCCCCATATCCATGCTGCTCCAAGTACTCCAAAAAGAACCAGTTCAGGGTAAAGCAGCTTCAAACGACAGTGTGAGTTCAAGGAATTGGGCATCTGGGAGCATCTAAAAAAAAAAAAAAATCTCTGAAGTTGTCAGGAAGTGCTTTTACCCATCCTCGGGGAAAAACAGCACAGAGACAACATTTTAACAAAAAGAAGAACAGGAGTACTTGTGGCACCTTAGAGACTAACAAATTTATTAGAGCATAAGCTTTCGTGGACTACAGCCCACTTCTTTTTATGCTCTCTGTATGTGTGTATATATATCTCCTCAATATATGTTCCATTCTATATGCATCCGAAGAAGGGGGCT